TTATAGGGCAATTCAATTACTACGGAAAATCAAATGCTCATGCGTCAGAAGGTTGGTGATCTCAAGACAACCTCCATAAACAAGAGGAAGTCAAAAGAAGCATGTAATCCAATCCTCTTGGAACCCGCACATAGTGCCTTTCCGCATTCCTCGGCAGACAGACACCGTCTCCCTCTCGGGAAGCACAAGAAAGCGGCGGGAGCATCCGCTTCCAAGTCCATCATCTAACATTCCGATCTGGTGTAAACTGTGCTTAACCTAATCGTAATAGTTCAACTGAGATAAAACAAAAACCTTAAAACTGGGGGATGTGGCACACATGTGTCGTAGCCCGAATCACGTATCCGTACACGAGGTCGTACATGCGGCTCTCTCTCGCAAGCTGTAACTCAGCATTCCACAGAACTTTATCGAGACGACAGGCTTAGAGCACGGTGCTTTGGAGTGACACCGCATTGAAAGAGGAGAATACCAGAGAGCAGTGTATTCCCTAGACTGCTGCATTACCCAGGACTTCCCCTTCCAAAAGAGAGACTTGAACCTGATGTGTGGTGTTGCTGCGTCTGTCACGTGCACTGGCGGACCCGCAGAGCTACCTAGGCAGTCAAGTTGGCTGCCCTGTCAGCAGCATCCGATATGGTGTAGTGGCCAACATGATGCCCTCTCATCTCTTTGAGAGGTTAGGCATAGCCCCGAGTTCGATTCTCGGTTTCGGAATCTTTTGACATTTTTGGCGATCAGAGCGGTCGCTCTGCCTTCTTTTTGCCTTCTTGTTTGTTTGTTGATGCACATTTGCTGAATTCGTCTTCGTGCTCAACCAACATGGGGGAGCGGGGGAAAAGTAAGCCCCCAATCTTTCGGACGAACCACTTAGACATCAAAACTCTAACCTCCAACCCCAAGCGACGATGTCGTTGATGCGATGACAGGCTGGAGACAAGACGCAACCAAAAAAGAACAGCCTCATCATACCATGATAGACGTGACGCACGGTACCTGGTATACGCAGTACTCATTGGCAAAGAGATGCTCAAGCCAAGTCAGCCTCGTCGCCCACAGGGCGAAGCCTGCCCGGCATGCATGTCTCTAAATCTCGACCCAGAGACGCATGCGGTCCTCTACCCGAGAACCAAAAATCTCGCTTCGAACAGCAGAGAGAGAAGGAGGAATAAGCAATAACCGAGACCTTCATGTCGCTGTCAAATGAAGGCGATGAGACATGCGTCCCCTTCCCAGAATCCCGAGTTCCCACATGCCGATCCTCGTGGCCTCTACCAGGTCCTCACGGACCAATATTCGTTTCTCCGGCCGTAAGGCAGCCTGCAAGTTGATAGATTACTCTGTTCGGTAAAAAATCTTGAATACAGGTGAAAGGAATGAAATGCGATGGGAAAGCAATAAAACAATCACGCAAAAATCCACATCACGCGGTCCACGCGAGATGAGCGAGGCGATGAGAGAGAATCTTAGCAACCGGTAGAAATTGAGAAAGAAAAATGTCCGGCCTGAGCGGGGTGATCGACGTTGGGCTCTCTTTTTCGCTCTTCAAAAATAGAATTTCCTTGTAAAAATACCACATTGCAGTCAGTCTCGAACTTTCTGAGAGGGAATTAGGCAAAAGCGGTGTCCATCGGCCCATCTAGAGACACTTTGGCTCGGGAGCTCTTTTCGTGAGGAGACTCCAACTGTAAGGGAACTCTGCAAGGGTGAAGCGTATCCGTAGTCCGTACTCCCATAACGACTAGGCAATGAATGAACATCTCTTGGCCTTCTACACTTTGACAGGACGAGGGCCAAATATGACCCGGCACCCTGAGCGAAGATCGCCGAGGGCTCGAGCATCCTCTCCCATTGATCCATTCAACCCCCATCTTTCTGTGCCGCATGCTTTATCATGAGGTGGTAGGATCAGCAGGAAGACAGCGATCTTCGTTTCTGTTTGCTTTCGTTTCCGAGGGTCCGAAGGTCTGTAGGCCAGTAGGGAGACCGGGACACCCAATAAAACGATGCAAGCAATTCCCCGCAGATTAGATAGAAAAGCTCGAGCGCGCTCGATAGCGGCAGCAAAAAGTTCGGATGTGCTCTGGTTCGTTGGATGGCACGCTGGTCGTGGAGGTTGCGTCGTGACAACCTTCCCGGCGAACGAAGTTGGAAAGGCGGGCGAGGCCAGAGCAAACAGGAAAACATTGTCCCCTCCCCGCTCACCATAAGGTATCTAAAGGAACAGCATCTATCACGCGGTACACAACTTTGTTGGCTCACAGTTCAGCTTGTGTAGACACACACACACACACACACTTACACACACATGTCTCTCAAGGAAACAGAAAGGAAAGGCAAGTTTAGAAGTAAGGGAGACGAGAAAAGGAGACTGTCATTCGCTGAACCGTCATGTCTTTCCGTCACGCCGTGATTGGAAGCGCCAAGCCTATTGGGAACACCCGCATGCCGCTCTCAATATCCGGCCCCCATCTCCCCCGAGTCCCAGAGACACTCATCTGCCGAGGGCCTTTGCAGTGGTGATCACATCAACCAGTCAGACAAGCAGGCATCCGAGTATTCTCTCACGCAGACAGAAAGAAAGGAGAGAAAAAAATAAAACACACACAGAGAGGTCTTAGACATACATATGTCCCAGCCTGGCAGTCCGCCCAGTGGTCAGTGGTCAGTGGCCAGTGATCACCCGTCATTATCTTGCCTTGCTTTAGTGGTAGGGGATCAAATCTCATCACATCGCTTCCAGTGGCGGGCGCTTGTTCTTGGGCATTTGCATCTGCATCCATGATGTACAAAGAAATCAAGGTCTCAGAGCTGCATAACAGGCGAGCAAGCAGGATTTCTACCTAGACTCTGCGGTGCAGAATGTGTGCCTTTATCTTATGCATGTCCTATCTCCCTCTGTGTTCGCCGCCTCGCGTCCCGAACGCACAGCGCGCGTCGTCCGCGCAGCCCGCGCAGAGCCCATCCCACCCCCTGATCTACAACCCTTCACACTCTACCTTACCATTTGACCACGGGCTTTTCAGCCTGCCAAGTTGTCCCCTCTTTTCGCCTCCGTCTCTGGGCAGTAGCAGAATCCGTATCCTTTCCTATATTCTCTACCATACACTGTCAAAACTGTCAATCGATCGAATCGTCCAGATAATTGACCCTATTGGTAGTCACGTAGTCCAAAAAAAGTTCCCGGTACGGATGGACTGCCCTTCTTTGTACTATGTATGGATGAATCCCGTTTTTTTTTTTTTTTTTCAGCGAACCATGTTTCGCCAGCCAACCAACGGTTTTCCTTTATTCCCCTCCGCCTCCCCCCTGGTTTGCCCTTTCGGTGTCCAAGGCCCAAGGTCCACACCTCTAACGGCCGATCCCTTCGTATCGAACGGCGGGCGAAAAATGGAAAAAAACAGAGTGTGGCACACGGTGGTCACTGGGCACACCGTGTGCGCGCTCAACTTCTAATACGGAATACTCGGTCCCCATAAATTGGAACTAAACGTTGCATAAAAAGACCCCAATGGCTCACACACCCACCCACCCACCTCCTATACCCACGAGCGGCTCCAATAGTGTAGCTCTCCATAAACTAAGCACTAAGGTCAGGTACAACTCTGTCTTTGGCCTTTGAGTACCTACCTAGCTGGGGGCTAAAAACGGGGTTCGGTCCGTTACCTATTGTTTTTTCTTTCGAGTCCTCTCTCTCTTCGCGCGCTGAATCTCTTAGTGCAAGGTACCGTCTAGACGGTGGGACTCCGACTCGTCCGACTCGACCGATAGATCGATGGAGCGCCCCCCCTTCCCCCCGTTCTACCACCCACCCTCCACCAGCCCCTATTGTCTGTCACTCACCATGTCACCGTCTCCATTGTAAAAAATCCCAACTCGTCGAAGGATCCTTTGTCTCTCTTTTTCACTGGAGACACAGGGGAAACTCGGCACAACAATCGGGTAACGTACCTTGGGAGGGTTGTTGCTCCACGTTTTACACTTAAGGATAGTCTTAGAATATCCGATAAGCCATCGTTATCCAGTTTTTGTCAACTCACGTGGTGGCTGTGCAGATGCCGGGTTACCTAGGATGGATGGATAAGTAATGGAACCTAGGGAAAGAAAAGCTTGGCCGCGATTAATCTACGCAGGACGCCGAACCGTTCGGCGCCGAGGAGAAGGAAAGAAGGGGGAAAATTTTAACCAGAGCTCAGAAGGGCAGAAAATAAATAAATAAACAAAAACGGGGGATTGTTTGTGGAAGGGGCATTGCTTCTTCACCGTTCATGCAGTTTCATTCTGAATGGCACGATACTATGGACTCGGCTGTTTTCGGCCTCCGTTTAATACCGGCCACTTGAACAAGTGATGTGCAGCCAGCACCCGGCGGGCGAATATTCTGGGGAGAGAGAGGGAGTTCACTCCGTAGCGCGTCTGCGTTGTCTCGATTTGGAACAGCCTTGGGCAGAGAGAATGGAACCCCGGCTATCCGCCGCCATCGTGAAGTTTCGCCGGCGGGATGTGCTACCCGGCGGGTAACCAGCATGTTCAATGATCTCATAGATGGTTACGGAGCCGTCGCACTTCTTTGTTTTTTGTACGGAGTACCAATTCTCACTGAAGCTCACAGTTGATATTATGACTAATTTATTTCCGAAAAGATTGGTCTGGTATCACTATGAACAAATGCAAGAAAAATAAAAACAAGATACATTGTAAAAGGATGGTATAGCATAGCATTACTCACCAGACCATGTGAGAGCTTCGTTTGGAACATGCAGCCCGGGGTGGGGGAGGATAATTACACTGATAAGAGATGATAGTCTGCGTCATGATAGCCGCCATTGAATTATCCAAACTCCGCTTGCTTGCGAAAAAAAGACTCGACGATGTGAAGAAGAAAACATGTGTCTGGCTTGCAGTACACCCGTTCGAGTCGCGCCCATCTCTTTCTTTTTCTTCTCTTCTGATTTTTGCCCTTTTTCAATGTCTCACATTTCATAACCAATGATGGTTGCTTATGCGAGGAGCGCAAAAGAAACGGCCATGACGGAAGCCAGGACCAGGGTCATGCTGCTGCCGATGAAGCCGGCGGCGCTCTTGCTCTGACCAGCGGCAGTGGTGCCGTTGGGGCAGATCTTGGTGGCGTCGATGGAGGACGCAAGAACGACGGCGCGGGGCTGACCCTTCTCCATGTACAGAGTGACGTTGCCGGTGCCGTCGGCGGTGCTGGTGCCGCAGGTGGTGACCTCGACGACGGCATCACCAGGGTTGAAGCCGCCGACGCTGAGCTGGTAGGTATCGCCCTTGGAGCTCTTGTTGGTGACGCAGAAGACGACCTGGGCGCCCGCGGGGCCCTTGCGGAGGCACAGGTGGGTGTTCTCGACGAAAAGCTGCTCAGAGGCCGTGGTGGCGAAGTCCTTGTTCGTGGCCTGGAGGGCGTTACGGGTCTTGAGGAGGGTGGAGGTGAGCTGGTAGATGGGCGCGGTGGTGTCGTACTTGGATTGCCAGAGGGGCTCACGGTTGAAGGGAGTCGAGTTACCGTTGAAGTGCTGCTCCTGTCCCTGGTAGACGGTGGGGATACCGTCAGTCAAAAGGATGTAAGCCATGGCGTTCTTGGCAAGCTCAATATCCTCATCGTAGACGGCGAAACGGGGCATGTCGTGGTTCTCGACGAAAGATCCGAGGGCGAAGATGTCGGTGCAGCCATCGCGGGCCTGGGAGCGCCAGTCGGCGAGCTCGTTCATGTCACCACCGAAGAAGACCTTGTTGAGGGGGTAGTACTCGATGTAGTTGGGCATGCCGGGCAGCAGGTTCAGGGTCTGGTAGCGGCAGAAGTCGGCGGGGGCTCCGGTAAGGACCTCACCGAAGGCGAAGACGCCAGAGGCGTTGACAAAGGTAGGCAGGAAGGCATCGTTGACGTGCTTGGCGGCATCGATACGGAGACCATCGATAGAGTAGTTGGAGACGAGTTGCTTGATCCACTTGCCAAACTCATCGACGACGGTGGTCTTCTCGGTGGCCAAATCGGCGAGGGCAACGCCGTAGGGGTAGAGCCAGCAGTCCTGGTAGTTGGTGCTGTTGTCCCACTCGGTGACGTTGCAGTAAGGGTGGAAGTCGGACTCCTCGTTGAAGGGGTTGAACTTGGAGTAGTCGAGCTTGGGGGGCAGGCTGTCGAGCTTCTGGACCATGTTGTTGACGACGACATCGACCATGAGGTACATGTCACGGTTGTGCATCTCCTTGACCAGGTTCTTGAAGTCGTCCGAGGTACCGAACTTGTCGTTGAGGGCGTAGTTATCGAGAGACCAGTAACCGTGGTAAGCCTCACCGACGGCGGTGTCATCGTCCATGTTCTTGACAATGGGGCTGATCTGGATAGCAGTGAAGCCCATGTCTGGTGGTCATGGTCAGTTGTAAGGCCCAGGGTCTCTGGGCTAGAGCCCGTGATGCATTCGTCTACAGCAATATACTCACTTTGGATGTAGTCAAGCTTGTTGGTCAAGCCGGCCCATGTGCCACCACAGAACTTGTAGAGTTCACACTCGTGGTCGGTTGAGCCATCGGTATGGGCGTAACGATCGATCATGACTTGGTAGATGGATCTAGACTTCCACGCCTCGAGGTCGGCAGCCTCGACGAGGGCAGAGAGGGCCGTGACAGCGGCCCACGCAAGTGTTGAGGTACGCATGGTGATGATTTTGACTGATGATGTCTGTTTGAACGAACGACTGCGCCGCGTATGGGCGTTGAATTAACGATTGGTTTTGCGCTTGGGTGCGAGCGTGATGAAAGGAATGGATAGGGTCGGAGAGGATTTGCGGCGCACACACAACGATATAGACCTTTGGGATGTAAGAGGGACAGGACCGATGAACGAATGGACGGGGAACCCTTCAATGGAGAATGGAGTGGCAGCGAGTGACTGGCTCTGGGAGCTTGCAAGTGAAAAAAAGGGGTGGGAAGCCTGGGTAGATTAGACGAGTGACTAGAGTAGGACGTGGAGTCGGTTGACAGTGAAAGAAGAGGGGCCAAGCGCGTCAAAACGAGACTCACGCTGTGAACACGAGGGTCGATCAGCAGAGGGAAAAAAAAACCGAGAAAGTGTGGTGGACTAGGTGACTAGGGACAGTCTACGGTATACTAGGCAAACTCTTAGCAGTCATAAGTGTTGGATGTGTATCTATATTCGCACATACTCCTCCGTAGTACGGGTAGTGTACTCAATAATGTTCCGTACTCCGTACCTTCTGACGGCACTGGGCAGAGGGTTCGGGACTGCGGATGAACCAATGCAAGGTACCAGAAACACAGACAGCGCGGAGAAGCAGACAAAGACAAGAGGGTCACGGAACAACAGGCCGAGGGACGGATGGGCTTGGAAATGGCTTGGAGGAAATGACGGTTCCTGGCAACTTTGCCGTACTTGGCCGCAAATGTCAATGCCTCGGATCGAATGGGACGACGAGGCCCACACGGGGGGCGCAAGTGTGTCAATAACCATGACCAACAGCTGGTCGACGGGAAATTGAACCCAAGCAGAGGAAAAGAGAGAGAGACTGAGAGAGAGAGAGCGAGAGACCACGGGGGATACGATGGTCGATACGGCGGCCAAGCCGGGGGGTGTGGAGGCGACCGCGCTAGAAGGGGATAGTGACACTGACGGAAAGGAAACCCGAGCGTAGGATGAGGGAACCAGAGTCTTGTGTTTGAAGGGGAGAGAGAGGGAGCAGGAGACTGCAGAAGCGACATGAGGAAGCGGAAAGCCGTCCAAGATGCAGATGGAGAGGTAGGTAGGATTGGTAAAGAGTTGCGTACTCAGCAACCAAACGGCGATATGTACGGATAATGAAGGCGAGGGTAGCAGAAGTTGTGTGCTGAGTGAGGCAAGCCAGGATATAGCCGTAGCTAGGCACGACTATGGAAAGGCTCTTGATCGATGATGCAGGCCTAGATGTGACAATAGGCGGAAAGGATTAATTAATGGTGGTGTCGTTGGTCAAGATGGTGTGTGGTCAAAGTGGAGTGGTGTGGTGAAAAGGGTGAAAAGGTGGTGGGAAACTGCCGCCAACGGCGCAGCAAGATGGACGGTGCTGTGATGAATGTGTGGCTGCTTGACCAATGAGAAGGAGCAATTGGAGTGTTCATACTGTGAAGGTACATAGAAAGACGAGAGACTCGGCGAGAGATGAGGGAAGGAATTGGTACAAGGTCGAACCTGTCAAGCCTGTGTTATTTTGGACAGCAACCAATCCCAAAAGTTACGTATCTGGCTTTGGCTCCTTTGGCTGCTTGGAAAACCTCGTTTCCCCTGCCAAGAAACGCCAGGGCAGCGCCGCCAACGCCGCCAACGGTGCGGCCTTGGAAAGCCGTGGGAACTTTTTGGAATGGGATTGCGAGCTTATCCAAAAAGAGTGTGGTGGTACCACGACATGGGACGTCACGTCGGCAGTGACAATTGGTCGCGTTGGACATGAACTGATGGCACCAAGACTCGAATGGCACTGTCAGCCTGCCACACTGAGCAGCGTGAGCACTGATGAACAGCGTCGATAGCGTGCTTTGTCTTGTTGACGGGTTGACGGTTGGCGCTGGCGACGCTGATGCAAAGACGTGGCGACACGACGGCGCTGTAAACGACCGAGATTCGCCCTCTCTTGACGAGCCAACTTGGTGTTTACTGTGTACTATTCTGAAGACAGATGGACCTGAGAGGGCACAGCGTGGCAGACATGTTCTTGGTGTCTTCTTGGCAGCGGCGCTGGACAACGGGAGGCTTGTTGTCTGGTTATTGGCCCGCGTTGCTTGGTGTTTGCTTGTCTGCGCCGCAGCTTCTCTAACCAAGACTCCTGTCCAGACTCGAGAGTCTTGATGAGACGACATTTGATGGCTTCGGGGCCTGGTTGGCTTGCCATCGAACACTCGCATTTCAACCAGTGGCAGCCGAAATTCGATCAAGAGTGCGAGAGCAAATTCTGCCAGTCCTTTTCCCTCCCTGCCTGACCAGTGACAGCCTATCTGGCAGTCGGAGTGCATAGCGTGTCCTGCAGGTGGACGCGGGCGTTATATTTTGTTGACAGATGATAAGAAGCCCGTGGTAAATTTGGCAAAGGGAAAAAAAAGGAGTCTGTGTGTTGCTGACCTGTGGTTGGTGCGAGTGCCAAGTGTGGGCGCCATTACTTTCGCTACCTGCTTAGATAATCAAACATAATTGGACGACTGGAGGAAATCAGTCCCGAATTGGACGCAACTCCCACCGTCCTGTCCCACAAACATCCCAACTCCATGGATTCTTGCTTCTCCAGGGGAGAGGGGGGAAGGGAGGAAAAGCAGAGGGGAATACTGAATTGACTGGGGAACTCACTTAAACTCTATAAAGTCTTTTGAGGCAGCCCCTCGCCATGCAATGCGCGGCTTCTCAGACGGTTTCCGCTTGATAGGCCTCATGAAGGCTGAGTGAGCCCTGAATCGAGTTTCTCGTCAACTCCTGGAAACCGGAACTTGGAAATATAGCTGGAAGGCATGGGACTCCCCAGATACCATCATCAACCGGTCGTGTTTCTTGTCACGATGAGACGCAGGGCAGGACAGGGCAGTGAGGCGAAGAAAGAGCCAACGCCACCAAAAGAAAAGGAGTTCGCGTGTCCTTGGGCCCTTGGCTTTCAGCTCGGCGTGGCTTCTGGTTTAGGCGAACATCGCCCCTTACCGCTTTCCCCGCCAGACCCGTCTTCTTCCTCAATCTTTATCCATCAACTCATTCGTTCTTGCCCTTTTTCTTGCAGTGTTCCCCTCCTTCCCAAGATCCATCCTGATTCTAGCGACTGGCAGTAGCGAACCACGGCATCAGTCCTTCCCATCACGTCGCGCCCAGAAGATGCCCAGACACGCCAGTACAAAGAACCAAGAGGGCTTCTCTCCTCTGACTCGCTTGATTGCACCGACCGCTCTGTGCGATACGGCCGATCGTCGCGGGCAAGTGCTGCACCGCGGTAGGAGTCGTGGACTCGTGCAAGGGGGCCCGGCCCCGGTCGGCAGCAAGCGCAGGTGCTCCTCCGACCGACCCCTGGCCCTAGTACCCCGGTCCCAGCCGTCCTATTCGAGGCTACCTCCTCCTGCCCAAGTGGGTCAAGTCCATGAGAAGTCCAGGTACCCTGCTTCCACCGCAGCACTGTGTAGGTACGTACACGAGTACAAAATAGCTGGACAAGGAAAGAGCTGGTAACGCAGTAAGGTACTTACACAGTAGTGGAGTTTCTTGAGACGTACTCTCTGCCGGCGTGGCAGGTGGCAGGCGACCAAAGGAATTCTCAAACTCACAAAGGAACTCGTAGAACTGCCCAGAGTTAAGGACAGCAGGACCGGCAGGGCTTGAGGGAAGGAAGCCACACTCTGTCTTGAGCATGGCTGATGTTAATTGATTTGAAGCCAAGGATTGGCCAAGACGCCGCCAAGTGGATCTCCCGTGGCTGAGGAGTTGTTTTCACTGCAATCTTCACTGCAATGATTGCAATGGCCGCTGTCAATTCTTTCGAAGTTCAGACTGACTGCCTGGCCTCAGACTTTCTCCCCAGTAGGATTCGGCAATCCTCAGACATTCGACATTCTCTTTCTCCCGCATTCCAATCTGTCACACGGTGTCACTCGGGGAAAATACTTCCAAGCTCCATGTGCAGTTCCCCAGGGCTGGGACCACTCTTTGCTCAGTGTCGTTCCTTTTCTTCGGCGCTGTTGCATCCACCAAAGTACCTACTTGATCACTTCTTGTGCGACATTAGGTAAGCTGCAGTCACGCCTCGAAAGCGCATTTCTTAGCACTGCTAGCGACCCGGATGCTAATGCGCGAGGTCCAGGCAGGACAAGATCAATTTTGATTTGCTTTTCTCGACCTTCCTTCTCAAATCCTTCCATGCCGCCATGGCAGACTTGTCGCTTCCTCCTGCGTTAGCTTCCCCACGAGTCGACGTCACGATCACGATCAGACAGACGCGCCCGACGTGTTTCTGTTCCTGGCTTGGCCCAAGTCTACGCCGCACTAAGGCACCTTACTACACAGTACGGAAACACCATGGAATACACTACAGCACCTTTAGTCCTGAAAGACTTGGTGACTTGTTGGACAGGAAGCAGCAACAGCCGGTCGAGCTAGCAGTAGCCAGTACGGACGGGGTGCCACACCATCGCCCTCTGAGCATAAACGGTTTATGCTAGTTGAGATGAACCCCTCCGATTTCCATCTGCCAACGACGCGGCCACAACGCCCACCCTCAGCCTGCCAGGCCAGGCCAGGCCAGGCACGCCGCACCTCGCACCTCCCGTTGCCCACCGTCTTTGAACGGGTCCGGCCCCTTGAGCCTCAAGTCTCCAACTGTTCCCGACTGGGAAATCACTGTTTTCTGGATAATCTTCGACAGCATGGATCACCCGTCCTGACAGCCTGGTTCGTCTCCAACGTCTCGTATTCTTCCTGGGGGTACCGCCCGAAGCAAAACTGACTCGATACAGGAGAGCACGTCCTTGGAGCCAGGGGCCCTACTTGACAGCGGATACTTGGACCGACGACGGAGCTCGCCCGAACTGACCAACAAGATGCACCAGACCGTGCCGGCTTATCCTTGGTCTTCAACACGCTACGCGCACACTGGCCAGAATGACATCCTCGCCCCTGTTCGCCGCTGACCTCGGGGCCACCGTATTGGACAGTCTCTTTTGTGGACATGGTCCAAAATGGTAATTCAAGACGGAGCCCGCCAATCTCCCATCGCACTCATGGTTCGCTCCCACCCAGGCACTTGCCTGCACCCTCTGCATATCCATATTCCAAACTTCGTATAGCCAGAATTAGCCCTGACCACTACACCCCCGGAGCCACATTGTCATGTACCAAGAAAGAGGGGTCTGACGAACAAGAGGAGCAGGCACAGGTACCTTTCTTTGCCTTTTCTTTACTGCGCATATACTCCCTACCCACGGCCTACAGACTCGCTCTCTGGAGTCTGGACAGTGGAAACTGGAGAAGAGGCACAGAGAGGTCCTGGTTCCAAGAGGAAGGGCTAACGATTCGGCTGGCCCGTTCCTGCAGAAGGAAGCCCCATCCGCCCATCACGGAATCGATGCCCTGCGGCCCTGCGGCCTGCTCGCCTGCATCCCCTTCCCCATCCCCATCCCACTCTCGCCCCAAAGACCCAAGAACCAAGACCCAAGACCAAGACTCGCAGACCTGACAGTGCCAGACTGGAGCCTTGAGAGGCGAGGCGGACGGAAAGATCCTTTCCATGGACTCTTCTACGGTGGCCCCCCCAGCCACTCTGCTATTGTACCATGTGCCTGTTCCCTCAATTCCTGTGCCTGTGCTTCTTGTGCCTTTGCCTGTGCCTTTGCCAGTGATCCCCCTTTCCGCCTTCAGCCTGGGGCATATTGCAATTGGACTGACCCAAGCTCCTACGAGATTACCCCCTTTTCTACCGGTACCAGCGTGGCGTTGACGGCCGAGTTTTCTTCCCATCCGTCCCGCGCTTTGCCTTGCAACCCATCCCGTCATTCGTTCTTGCTTGCTTGCTGGTCTGCTTCGCGGCCTTTCTCTCCTCCCCCCATCCCATCACCACCACACTCCTTCGAGCTTCACTTCGTCACTCATTCCTGTTTGTCTTTTTTTTGCTTGTACAATCTTTTGCTCACTCGCCCCTCCCGGCGAGTAAGAGTTCACACAAAATGTCTAATTCAGTATTGGCTTGGGCACTTACACTCCTTACCACATCATCAACCCTCGTTTCCGGCCTCAAATACACCGCGAGCGAAGTCGATTACAACCTCAACACCAACAGATTAGCAAAGAGTCCTGCCGAATACTCAGGAAAGAGAGATGGCCACACCTTCACAGCATCGCCCCCCAACTGGCGGTTTCCC